CAGTAGATCAACATGAAAATCACCACAGTGGTAGACAGTGAGATGTAGAACAATAATCTGGTGGAAATGGCAGAAAACAATTTGATTTAAACATTTTATGAATTTATTAAATATTGCTGTATAACAAGGTATACAGTATAGGACTTTGGCAGTTAATTATTAAATAATAAAACAGTAGATCAACATGAAAATCACCACAGTGGTAGTCAGTGAGATGAAGAACAATAATCTGGTGGAATTTGCAGAAAACAATTTGATTTCGATTTTTTATTCATTTATTAAATATTGCTGTATAGCAATGTAAATATTCATTAGTTTGGCAGTTAATTATTAAAGAATAAAACAGTAAAACAACATGAAAACCACCACAGTTGTAGACAGTGAGATGTAGAACAATAATCTGGTGGAGTTTGTAGAAAACAATTTGATTTGCATTTTTTATGAATTTATTAAATATTGCTTTATAACAAGGTATACAGTATAGGATTTTGGCAGGTAATTATTAAATAATAAAACAGTAAAACAACATGAAAATCACCACAGTGGTAGACAGTGAGATGTAGAACAATAATCTGGTGGAGTTTGCAGAAAACAATTTGATTTGCATTTTTTATGAATTTATTAAATATTGCTGTATAACAAGGTATACAGTATAGGACTTTGGCAGGTAATTATTAAATAATAAAACAGTAAAACAACATGAAAATCAACACAGTGGTAGACAGTGAGATGAAGAACAATAATCTGGTGGAGTTTGCAGAAAACAATTTGATTAGCATTTTTTATGAATTTATTAAATATTGCTGTATAACAAGGTATACAGTACAGGACTTTGGCAGGCAATTATTCAATAATAAAACATTAGATCAACATGAAAATCACCACAGTGGTAGTCAGTGAGATGAAGAAGAATATTCTGGTGGAATTTGCAGAAAACAATTTGATTTAAAATTTGTATGAATTTATTAAATATTGCTGTATAACAAGGTATACAGTATAGGACTTTGGCAGTTAATTATTAAATAATAAAACAGTAGATCAACATGAAAATCACCACAGTGGTAGTCTGTGAGATGTAGAACAATAATCTGGTGGAATTTGCAGAAAACAATTTGATTTTATTTATTTTGTTATGAATATTTTTTTTAAAGTCTGCCGACACCAAGCGCATACACCTTGAGCCTACCACGCAACCTCGTGTAGACGCGCAATATATTTTTAAGCGTAGATGGCGTGACCGCGCTTTTCTGAAGCACAGATGGCGTGACCGCAGTGGCACGGCCCAGCAGACAGATCAGAGTCAGACACTGACGAGTCGACAACTAACGTCTCGAGACACAAGAGGAGGAGAACAAACCTGATAAATATGAAGTTGCAAAGGAAAGAACGTCTCGGATGAGGAGGTGAGGTGAACTAACAGAATCAGACTGCAATAGCCTGAACTTAAAACCCAACAACTAATCAATTCATAAAAATTTCGGTTTCTTATAATTTGGCTTTGGCTGCATTACCCTATAATTTATTTTTATTCTTTTTACAAATGTAATCAACATTTTCGTAAGTTCTAGATGTGTTGGGATATTTAAAATGCGTTTTTTAAATTATATTATGCTGAAATGCTGGGGCGGTTTCTTCATTAGGGCGATTGGGCGACGCACCACCAAAGTGTAAAAGTGACTTTTTCAATCACATTCACAATCTCATTCAACCACAGAGTTACGCTAGCCGTCACTATAGTCCAATCAGCGTCATGTCACGTTCTGTAGAGTACCGCCTCTTTTTGGGCGATTTCACTATGGCTGAGAATCGCCCAGAGTGTTCCCATAGACTTGCATTCAAAGATGTTTTTTTTCTAACTGCAGGCACTGCAATGCATTCTCTATGGGTTCCGGGAGGGCTCGCACTCAGTGTTGCCAACTATTTTCAAAGGAAAGTAGCTAAGGCCTTCCCTAAAAGTCGCTAAATGACGTCATACGTCAATTAGCATATTAATGACGTCATCGCGTCGTACTTGCGTTCTGTCAGCCTAGTGCGTTTTCTCTCTAAATTAATGTTCTATTCAATATAATATAGCCGAATGTCAAATAAAGCTGTTCTCGTTTCCTATTTTTTTGTTGTCAGACAATTGAACGAGTAGCTATGATATAGTGAATGATTACATTTTTTATAGGCCTATGTGGCACATTATCTGAATGGGAACCGGATGAACTAAGCTCTGTGATTGTGTTTACAAGTAATAAGCACAAGAAAAGAAATAAAATTAAAATGGTCAAACTAAATTCTTTAAATATAAAACAAAAGAAAAGCAGATAAGTGATAAGTCCATGGAAAAACACTGCTCACTGTGTCTGTCAGCGGCCGTGCGCTCCTCTCAGCCATTCACTGAACAGAGGAGACGCAGCTGGAGAGAGTGACAACAGGGAGAAAGCAAGACCTCGCGCTCGCAGGATAGTACTGGCAACATTTGGAGGTTACTGAGGTTTGTCCAAAAAGTCGCTAAAATTGTCGCTAGTCGCTTTTTTGAAAAAAAATGTCGCCAAGGGGGTCTGAAAAGTCGCTAAAAATAGCGACAAAGGCGCTAAGTTGGCAACACTGCTCGCACTAACGTGCTTACGTCATCATACGTATCCTTAACTTGTGCAGCGATTGGTGGGAACAAAAACACACTATTAAAAATCTTTAAGATTAAGTGACAAATAATATTTGAAAACAATTTTGAATTTGAATAACAAGAAAAAATGAAACACTACTATAATATCTTTATCAAATGTGATTAAAAAAATAAAAATAAAAAAGAACGAGAGCGAGAGAGACTGTTGGGACCAGTTGAACTTGAACAACGTCATGGCGAACGCAGTCATAACACAGTCATTTATCGTGTCATTAAAATAAATACCATTCAGCCCGTCGTAGTAATCAGCATACATTGAGCAGGAGCAAGTAGCAACAGGAACAACAAGATCTAGGAGGGCCTTGGGAGAAGAAGACAAGCAGAGGCTGTCTAAAGAGGTATTTATTGCTGAACATTTTAATACTCGAGTGTTGGAAAATCTCACTTTGTTTTTACAATCAGTTTAGGAAAGGATGGTAGCAGTCTTTTTTACTCCTAGCATTGCACTTTGAAATTTGTACATTTCCATTCGAACACCAACACAATCTTTATCCTACATGTCAACGATTCAGTCAACAATATTATTTGTCGCCACCTAGTGGAATCTTTAATAAAATAACTTAAACTATCTGAGTGGATTGAAAATGCATTTACTGGTCAAAAACCCTTGTCAAACTCCATTTGAGCTTGAATTTTGGTAAAATGTTAATTAACGTAATAACACACACACACACACACACATCATCATCGCTGTCGGACGGAAGCCTTGTATGTCCAAAACTGTTACTTTTCAGGAAACGAAAGAAAACCTGTTTTTCCCCCAAAATAATTCCCAAGCTCTTTTAATGCTTTCCATTGGTAAAATATTGGTAAAACACATTGACAGATGTAAAGGGTGACCAATAGCATTCATTTTTGAAAAAATAGGGAAATATACAATATGGATTCTGCCTGATACATTGTTGCTGTCGGAATGGAAACCTTGTATCTCTATATTTATATTATAATAAATAATTTTATAACTAAAATAAATGTATTTATTTTGTCAGGTCTGCAACACAATCTTAAAGTAATGAAGTTGCCTTTACATGCTTAAGCTGTTAATTTATCCATTGCATGGGTGGACCTTATCCTTATCAATAATCCAAACATTTGCCCCCCCTGAGAGATTTTGCAGGAGCCGCCACTGCTGAAATGAACGAAATGACTCGAAAAAAGATTCGTTCATTTTGCTGAACGAGACTCAAAGATCCGAGTCAGTAAAATGATCCGAACTTCCCACTACTAATAATAACACTAAAACAGCTCACGTTAGCTACAAGTTATCGCGAGAACAGATTCAGATCAGGCATACTACTGGCATACTAATGGGGTCCTACGCCCGGACTATTCACACCGAGTAACCGGATTATTCCATAGACAGTAAAAGAAATGGACAGAGCGATCTCATTGGAACTCAGTTGAGACAGTTGAAGCCCACTTTTAGCGATTTTTGAGAACTTCCGTTCCTGACGCGCAGACTCAGACCGACTCAAACTAAGCTTGATGACGTGAGCAACCTGTCTGACAGACGTTAATCTTCTAGTAGCTGTGCGTGAAAACTGCCAACGTTAATCTTGCAGAGACGGGGAACTTGAGCAAAGAGTTCTTTGGCGTGAGTGAGCAGGAGTAAGAATTCCGTTGCTTTTATGGACTCATTATCTATGGGCTTCTCCCTTGACGGGACGTCCCCCCGATCGCCTGCGAGCTTCTCCTCCTGTCTGTACGGTAACTTCTGTACAGCGCGACAGAGAGTCGAGTGGTTATGACGCAATCGTTAGCCTATTTTTACTAAATCTGTTTCTACGGGGCCATAGTGTAACATAGAAGGTAATGGAGCCCTTTATACATTGTCGTGTTTCTTTAGAAATAAATAATGGACAAATGGAGTCTTTAAACGCCTCAGATGTAAAGTTATTCGCTGTCAAAGTGACGCAAAAATGAATGGGAGTCAATGGAAATGCTAACGCAAGTGAAGTTCTGCTACAACATGGCGGCACCCGGCCGGCTTCAACTTCCGGTCGATGGATTACCCCCTTGGGATTATTCACCACACCGGCTCAGACCCCGCCCAAATCGGCACGTGACTCCTCACTCTCAATAGCACGCGTTGCTCCTGCACCGCAACACGTACTGCAAACGGGGTAACGTTATGTGTGAAACGGGCGTTAGATCCACCTACAGTTCTTAGAAACTTAGATGTATTTAAGAACTCTTTTTTTTTTCTCGTACAACAGCAGCACTCATCTTGTTTGTTTATTAGCGGATGTGGATGAACAGTCGTAAACCGGAAACTGATATGCCGACTTCTGACAATAGCGGAAGTTCGTCACTACGCTTGTGCACGTAGCCTATTGACCCGACAGGAACTTACCATGGGGACAGTGATCTGCAGTTGGAGCGGATTAATGTGTACTACAATGAAGCCACTGGTCAGTTTGTGATGTATTAAAACAGAGAAAAAATGGCATTCAAAATTTTACATTAAGAGTGGAAATGTGCACTTTACTACGGCAGGTGGAAAGTATGTTCCTCGTGCTGTTCTTGTCGACCTGGAGCCTGGTACTATGGATTCGGTGAGATCTGGACCATTTGGGCAGGTCTTCCGACCAGATAACTTTGTCTTTGGTAAGCCTGTTTTCATATGCCATTTGACTGAATGTTAAATTCTTGATGTTTAAATTGAGCCTGTATAATCTGTAATTCTTTTCAATCATATGTCAGAGTGGTGCTGGAAACAACTGGGCCAAGGGTCATTACACAGAAGGTGCTGAGCTTGTAGACTCTGTTCTTGATGTGGTCCGTAAGGAGGCGGAAAGCTGCGACTGCTTGCAAGGCTTCCAGCTCACCCACTCCCTTGGAGGAGGCACCGGGTCAGGCATGGGCACGCTCCTCATTAGCAAAATCCGTGAGGAGTACCCAGACCGCATCATGAACACCTTCAGCGTGGCGCCCTCACCTAAAGTCTCAGATACTGTTGTAGAGCCTTACAATGCCACGCTGTCCGTCCATCAACTGGTGGAGAACACGGATGAAACGTTTTGCATCGACAACGAGGCGCTGTATGACATTTGCTTCCGTACACTCAAACTAACTACACCCACCTACGGCGATCTCAACCACCTCGTGTCAGCCACAATGAGCGGGGTCACCACCTGCCTGCGCTTCCCCGGCCAACTCAATGCTGACCTGCGCAAACTGGTCGTCAATATGGTGCCTTTCCCCCGTCTGCATTTCTTCATGCCGGGCTTCGCCCCCCCTCACCAGCAGGGGGAGTCAGCAATACCGAGCTCTTATGGTTCCTGAGCTCACACAGCAGATGTTCGATACCAAGAACATGATGGCTGCTTGTGACCCCCGCCACGGTCACTATCTCACCGTGGCCGCCATTTTCCGAGGCCGCATGTCTATGAAGGCGCAAGGCCTTCTTGCATTGGTACACGGGTGAGGGGATGGGTGAGATGGAGTTCACGGAAGCCGAGAGCAACATGAATGACTTGGTGTCAGAGTACCAGCTGTACCAAGACGCCACTGCCGAAGAGGAGGGAGAGTTCGAGGAAGAGGGAGAGGAGGAGCTTGCATAAAGAGTTGACCGCTCAAGTTCTTGTTCATTGTTTTTCTGTTCAGTTTCCTTATTCGTTGGTTTGTCTTTTTGTTTTGATCTCTTCCTCCCAAGCAGTTTCACAAGCTGCTAAAAAGCTCTCAATGTTCCTACAATGTCTAACAATGTCTAATAAAAATCTCTGAATTTGATAGCAGTCTTTTGGGGTGTGTTGTCTGTCTTTGGCCTTTTTCCTTGCTGATGTGTTGAAGTGAATTGTAGATGAAGCTCGGTTGAACATTACTAATTGTATTGGTTACCATTCATTCTTTGTGTAACTACAGAATATATAAAAATGTTAAATTAGTAAGATTAGTGTTTTCTTTAATTACAAAAATGTTTAATTTGAATACTTTGCAGTTACAGTAGAGCAAACTAGATGAAAGCCATGTTAGTGTGCAGATCATTCAATGATACAAGACCGCCATCTAGCGTTTAAAACGAGATAGATTGGGAAAAAAATCAGGTGAGAAAATATGTATCCATAAGTACACTAGAGATTTTCTCTCAGATTTAATCAAATGTAGCACTGATATCAATGTCTTATTTAGAAAAATTTGAATATAATTTATTTAACATAAGTTAAGAAATCTTTAAACAAGCATTTTTAAGGTCACTATGCAACTAAATCAACAGCATGTTTGCGTAAGCCAAGATTAATAAATTACTTTTATTAACCACACATATAGGCCTGGTTTCACATACAGGGCTTGGATTAAGCCAGGATTAGGCCTTAGTTCAAATACGATATTCAAGTAGTTCTTATGAACGTGCCTTAGAAAAAAACATTACTTTTGTGTATCTTGAGACAAAACAATGGCATTGACATATTTTAAGATATGCCAGTGCAAGTTGCTTTCAGTTAAAACAGCTCAAACATGCATTTTAGTCTGGGACTTCAGCCTTGTCTGTGAAACTGGGGAATAGGCTGTTACAATTAAATCCAGGCACGTGCGGGGCTTTGGGTACTCGATTAATTAATCAAAAGTGCCCATCTCAAACAACTATCAATGATAATATTGTAGTCAATAAATTAAAATGTATTTGATTATAATTAACATGACAATGTGTAAAGTAGCCTAAATTTACGTTTATTTTTACGTTTCTCTGTCAGTCTGAGGTGTCGTTGCTATAACGCGTTGCTATGGGTTGCGTCACTTGCGTCAAGTTGCGTGTGTCTTGCTTCGGACTCGACTGACGGGGTCAGTGTCCGTTTTCGAGGGTCTAAAACTCCGGAGTAGTGTGTGGACGGCAGGCATAACCGTAGCAAAAGTTATGCGTTTTAAAATGAAAATGCACTAGTGTAAACGGTTTTTTTTTTACAGTCTATGAAACGTACGTAGGTATCCGATTGCCACAGTCTTTTTTTTCTACTTCAATGATAAAAGGTTGTGTGTCGATTCAATAAAAAATCCACATATTTTAAAATATTACATAATTCATTGAAGTCTGTTTGTTTGTCATTAATAATACACCGACCAATCGTCATTTGGCACAACAAAAGTTCAAATTTCATTGGACAATATGTGAAGTGGAGCGGTCATTTATAAATAAATCGTTTGAAAATTACACGGACAGACGAATTTACATTTATGAAGCGATCTGAATCTGCGTCATTGAACTAGTGGATGTTAATTGACTGCAAAGCACTGCACAAAAACAGCACCAAAAGTAGCGTTAATGGTAAGTATAGTATTCAAGTCACTTGTATTTATATTGATACACCGTTTACCATGAAACTATCATAGTTTGTTAAATGAAGCCCAGGCCTGCAGCAGGCCTAGTAGTATGGTGTAGGCTGACAACAACACGCGAAATGGTGACTTTACTTTTATACTATTGCTGCAAAATTATCAAAAATGTTAAAATAATACAGTACTATTGGTAAAAAAAAATTGCACACAAATTACTATATATATATATATAGTAATTTAATATATATATAGTAATTTGTATATATACTATAATATATATAGTATACTATATATATATATATATATGTAAAGGCCCTTATTCGCATCAAGCCTGCATTTATTTGATCAAAAATACAGAAAAAAAAATGATTACAATTTAAAATAATGGTTTTCTATTTTAATATACTTTAAAAAATATAATTTATTTCTGTGTTTCAAAGCATAGTCTATATATAGGCTATGGCCCTTTTTTACATTTGAGCCCCTGCCCCTGAGGATCTCTCTGCACGTCCCTGATTAAATCCATATGAAATATTTATATTTCGGAATGTGCATTAAATGTAGCCTATGCTTTTGGCATTTGCTTTTATCCAAAACGACTTACAGTGCATTAAATGAATCTAATCCATGTCATTGGCGTTGCTACCACTCCACTGTTTTATCTACATCATAAAAAGCTCCAGACTGCAAAAGTTACAAATTGTTTATTGATACGAAAATGTTACTTTGATTACTGCTGGTGTTTCACATTTCAATTGATCATAAAACATTCAGTACAATGCGTTAATGTTGTGGAATTTTGTGGTTTTTCTGTTCTCACCAGCAGGTGGCGCTGGATAGTCACTGAAAAGGTCGCTCATGAGATTTGAGTGTTGAAGGAGAGGAGAGTTGATGTGACTGGTTTACACTTCACAGATAAAAATCCTGTGATGTTTTAAACCCGGATTTCTGCCGAAGTATTCTCTCCATAAACCTGAAAGGTATGTGACTGAGCCAGATTTACAGAAAACTACATGTACTAGGTTATACCAACCTAGGACAATACGGAATGAAACGCTATATAAAGTTTTGCTTAACAGTTGCATAACAGCTCTGCTGAATCGTGTCCACACCTTTCTTAATCTTAGATGAGATTTGTCATATTAAATCTTGTCACCAAGACGGTCTAATTATTAACTTGAAGCTCTTTCAATGCAACGAGGATTACATTAATTAACGTGACACAACAATCTGGCCCAATTTCATGGAACATTGAAGGAAGGAAGCTCTGAGTTGAATTGCAGTCGACACCAGAGCAGAGGGGGAAGAAGGAACATTAATTCAATCAACTAGCTGTGTTGTGAGTTGAAAATCGCAGAGGAGGACTTCATTTACTGAGCAATCGTGTCTTAAGTTTACAGTGACCATTGACATTGCCTTTTCTCTAAATCAAATTCCTGGAGGTTCAAAGTAGATCATCATACTTCATACATAGCCTACGTCTATAATCCCTGCAACGTATTATAGGGATGGGAAATATATCGGTACCTTATTGGTTTTTAGAGACCTTTAAAATATTTATATCTACCAAGTGGATATTTAATTTTACATGCCAATTTCTCCTACTTTAACACTTGAAGTTTCACACTTTAAGTTACTCTTTAAAAACATTAATTTTCTAACTCTGTAAAATATAATCTTTATTAAATGTCAAAATGAATATTCATTTGTCATACTGTAAAATTATTGATTTTAATTTGACTGTTTTTGTTTGTTTGTCTTTAGACACAATCGTGTAGTTAATAGCCACCATTTATCAGTTATCAGTCATAACATGAAAATAATTATCAGCGTACAGAATTTTAATATTGGTGCATCATTAATTATTTCTTAGAAAATATTTAACAATTATTTGGTAAATCTGAGTGAACACTGAATTCTGCTTCTTAGTGCATGACGTTCTTGAAAGTACCATGGTACAGAAGAACCACAGTCGTTTCTTGTAAAAGCTCAGTTCTATTTTATAGTCACAGTAATCCATATCATGCTCAAATGTGGCAATACAAGCACGATACAATAAAAAAAAAAAAATCAGATCAAAAGACTACAGCAAATGGCGAGACTTTCATACTGTGAAAGAACCAGATTGTATTCCTCAGTCTGATACTGTAAGCACAAGCTCATATAAGAGCTGCCAATGTGATCTTTTGTTGTCTCAGCTTTCACAACCTAATGCATGCACGTTATTCCTTTTAATTGGTTTTTGTGATTTTTATATCTCATCCATATGGCACTAGAAAAAGCTTCTGTCTGAACAATAAATCCTCTCTGTTTTAGCACTGCTATATACACAATGTTGATGAAGCGCTTTAAACAGATGATGGATTGCTCTTTAACAGCCAAAGCAACTTCACTGTCACTGTCACTGCCACTGAAAAGAGAGATAGGGAGGGAGGGAGAGACAGAGAGAGAGAGAGAGTATGTGCTATGAGATGCAAAGTGTAGCAGCAGCAAGAGGTGTGAAACATAAATTAGTATGGTTTTAGGCTGCACAGATGGGCCTCTGCCACTCTATATACTGCATACAAATGCTTCGAGCCTGAGGAGCATCTCTTCATACAAACAGATTGAATGGGCCACCCATATAAGCCACAAAGACACAGACAGTCGACAAGATGGGTTTAATGAAATTATGCTCAATGAATCTCACAAATTCACTTAAGTTCCCAGAATAGTCTTTTCTTTTTTTTAATCTGAAATTTCTTGTATTTTTTTTTTTTACTTTTGAATTTTGACAAGGGCTTTTTGGAAATCCAGCCAAATCTATTAAAGCCATATGTGCTAAGTGTACTAAATAAAATTGATCTGGCAAAGAGTATATGAAGAATGAAATCTAAGAATGACCATAAGAAGCAGGTTAATTAAAGGGATAGTTCACCCAAAAATGAAAATGATGTCATTTAATATCATAATGTCATTTTGTTCATCTGCTGAATACAAAATAAGATATTTTGAAGAATATGGGTTACCAAACAGTTGATTGGTCCCATTGACTTCCTTAGGCCCCATTGACTTCCATGGTATTTTTTTATACTATCAACTGTTTGGTTACCCACATTCTCCAAAATATCACCTTGAGGGTAAGTAAATGATGACAGAATTTTCATTTTTGGGTGAACTACCCCTTTAATTGCTGACTTGGGTTTAACAAGTAAATGAAACGAAAGGGAGGAAATAAATATTATACAAGGTGTATTCTAACAATTTCTTTCTATATATATATTATATAGAGAAGACTAGAGGAGAAGACAAGGCACGTTTATTTATATTGCACATTTCATACACAATGGTAATTCAAAGTGCTTTACATAAAAAGAATCATAAAATAATCACAGCAGATACATAATAAACATAACTAAATAACAATTAGACATTCGACCTGAATTA